TGTGACTTTGACAGCTCTTAGATGTCATGTGTTAGTTTTTCTGCCCACTGTTTTTTTCCCTTCATGTTTCAATTAGGATAATTTCTCTTGACATATCTTCAATTTCATTGATAATTTCCTAGCTCATGGCTCAATCTGCTGATGAGCCCCCTGAAGGAATTCAGCTCTAATATCACACATATTTTTATATTTCTTTCATTTAAATTTGCTTTTCTATATAGTTTCCATCTCTGTGTTGAAGTTCCCCATCTGATCATGCATGTTGTCCATATTTTCTCCTAGATCCTGTAACATGTTAATTATAGTTATTTTAAAGTCCTTATCTGATTATTCCAACATCTAGGTCATATATAGATTTGTCATTTGTTTCATCTACTGACAATGGGTTATTGTATCTTGCTTTTTTATACAAATTTTAATTTTTGATTGAATGCTAAACATCGCATGGAGAATAGTAGAGAATGAGGTAAATTTAATTCACACCTGCAAATGGGCAATGTTCTTCTTCAGTTATGCTACTACTATGCATGGTTGATATAATCCAGTCAAGATTTGTGCTTTATTTGTGTTTTGTTATTATCATTATCGTAGGGCACTTCACACTTCAAATTTCTTCAAATAGTGGTTAGCCACTATTACCTGTACTTAGAGTGGGGTTTGTGCTGCCAGAATTTTGTCCTCAGTATTCTTGCTTCACTGTCAGCTTTCAACAGCCCCTGCTCGCCTATGCCACAGAGATAGTCCCTGTCAATACTCTTGTCTCTCCCCCAGCACTACTCTGTTCTTTATTATTCAAAATAGACTCATCCTCTGTAGTAAGGTAAAGGGAGGTCTGTGTTGTAATGACCAATCACAGCCATAGGCAGACTGTGTTCTATAGTCTCAAGATTGGAACTTTCTGAGAATCCCTGCCCCTCCACATGGCAGCCAAACTGTGCCTTATATCTGTAGTTAGTTTTATACAGAAGATGATTTTCTGCCCTTTCTAACCCTGGTACCTGGCCTCTGATTGGTATCCATGTAGGATCTTGACTCAAGACAGAGTATCCTTCCCCTTCCCCATGGGTCAAGGTTTTTGCTTTGACTTTCCCCTCACTGGCAAAGGATCTTCAGCTATGTCTACCTCTCACCCACAGGGAGACTGCTTTGCTTTCTCTCCCTTTCCCCACAAAGTAAGATTTTTTTGCCTGGGATCAGGGTGACAGAGAGTGTTCTGCCCCTCTGAGTGTTATAATTTTCCTAGTACCATCAACCAGCAGCTTAAGACTTTTGCTTCTTGTTAGAGAAGTCTCCACAGAAATGGGCAGGCCTTTGTGCCTGTCTCCCAGAAACAACTGATCATCTGTTACATACTGGACCACTAAATGGACCTTCATTTTCCTGAACGATATTTCCCCTAGACAGCTGGTAAGCATCCACGGAAAAGAGCTTAAATAATGGTTGTAAACTCTCCTTTCCAAACTGAAATGCTAGTTCATATCTGGCCCTTTAAGAATTTGTTATAATTTTTGTTAATTTATTCTTACCCTCTTGTATAGTGGTCACCTCTTTTTCCTGTGCTCTGCTAAAGGTCAAAGACTTTGTATGCCCCATCTCTCCTTGGAGGGGCCTATCATTCTTTGGAATCCAGTATATTTGGTCACTTGTGACCTCAAATCTCTAATGAGGTCAGGAAAAATTATGATTTTTGTATATTATCTGCCTTTTTTCATTGCAATGGTGTGACCAAATATCTATATTTTAAACTGAAGTGGAACTCCAAAGACTATTTTTTTAAAAGATTTTATTTTTAAGTAATCTCTACACCCAACATAGGTCTCAAGCCCACAACTCTGAGATCAAGAGTCACATGCTTTCTGACTGAGCCAGCCAGGCACCCCTCCAAAGACTATTTTTAATCTTTAAGGAACAATTTATAACAGCAATAACTAGTTCATCTGGAACAAAAATAATTCTAACTTCTCAATTTGTCTCCAAACTCATTAATTGAATTTGGCAATTTTCAGTGTGTAAATATAAATAGAAATTCACTAAGGTTTATATAAAACTTGGAAAATGGCAAGCTCTTACCTGGCTGTTCCTTTGGTCTCCATCACAGCTAAATAACAGTGGGGAGGAAAGGATACGTTGTTTTGTTTTGTTTTGTTTTGTCTTCCAGAAAGATGCAGAGGAGAAAGTTGTCACCAATCTTCTCCAATGTTCAAAATACTTTTAGGATATGCTTAATATCTAAAGTATTAAAATGCTGATCCTCAGAGTCCATGATACATCAATTATTTCCTAAAATAGGCTTGGAATATACCACATAAAATAACAAAATTGCATTATTGTCAGTTTTCACTAACCCAAAGAGTCAGAGATAGAAAGAATTTAGAGATAGTCCAGTTCAAATCCTATGTAATGCAAAAATCTCTCGACATTCCTGTTTGCATATCTGTAATGTGGAGGAACTCTCTACTGACAGGACAGTCTCCCAAATTTTGAACAGACAATTTTTACAAAGATTTTCCTCATACTGAGTCAAAATGAGTGTCCCTAAGTTTCCAACCATTTGTTCTAATTTATCATTCCAGAGCTACTTACAGTACATCTAATCACCTTTTCACTTAGCCTTCAAATACTTGGAAATAGTTATCCTGTTTCCTTTTTCTTCTTTTTCTTCCAAGCTAAAGTTTCCTAGTACCATCAACTACCTTTAGTTTATGTCCATTAAACTATAGTCTTCTGGCTCAGGTCTCAGCACTGTGTGCTCCATCTGTGACCCAAACTCCCTTCTCCATCACAGAATACTAGATGTTCTGAAATGTTACATGCCCAGAATTCAATTTTTCTTTCCTCCATTGTCTCTTTTTAGACAGTCATATCTAAATTCTTGGCCAGGTGTCACCTCTATGAAAATTATGCTCAAATTTAGTTTTAATATCACTTGAAATCAGGTGCTAATGCATGTTTCCTATCTGTAGAATCTCTCATATGGTGGATCAGCCATCATAAGATTTGTAAATTTTAGGCTGATTATTCCCCTTCTACAAGGGTTTGTGTGTGTGTGTGTGTGTGCACACATGCATGCACGTGCACACATATACCCATGTGTGTTTATATTAGGGGAAACTCCAGGGTTTTGGAATTTAGAAAAGTGTTTCCACAGAGCAGTTTTGCATTTGTTTCTGCTTGGGTCCAAATTGTCACTATATTCTGGAACAATTTTTTAGCATAAATTCCTGCCATAGTATAAATCCATACTTCCCAGCTACACATACAATTTTTCAGGTAGTCATTTTCCTCACCCAAAGCTCCTAGGTAAAGAGAGGCTTTCTCAAAAGCTCTCTTGGTCAGTAGGCATAGTTTTTCTCCCACCTTTTGCAGGTGACAGTCTATCCAGTGTCAGGGGTTTATTCAAAGATTTCAGCTCCAGATCTGCTCCTTTCCCTACTTCCCCCTACTGGTTTAGTCTAAAATCTCAGCACTTGTCCCATCTTGAGCAGTAAACACCAGTCTCTAAGCCTGAAGGCCTAAATCTAATCTGATATTTCCCTCAGGCCATTGTAGCATCAATGTTGAAGACACTGCTCTGGCTTTAAGTTCCCTCTTTAAATTTCTGTCACCCAGAAATTTATCCTTTGTTTTGAGCTAAGCTATACATTTACACTTTGTTCTTACAGTTCATCTAGTGTTTATATGAGCATGTGTTCTGTGTGTGTGTGTCTTCTCAATCCAACAGTTGGCAGAGCTAGAATCTCATTGCATCTCCCAATATCTGGAGGTTGTGTCTGCTTGGTTGTTGCTGTGGAAGGTCAAGCTTTGCATATCAAAAATCACATGCATCATAATCCCATCAAAAATCTTCCCAACATTTGTTGCCATAATTAATGGCACCCTATCTTCTTGGTTTCCCAAGCATAAAACTTCAGAATCATTTAAATCCAAACTTTCTGTTGGCCCACACATCCAATTAATCATCAAGCTAATTCTACTATTAGAACAATTCACGTAGACTATTCTAGCAATCTCAGCGATTCAGGAATGTAATGAATATAATATTTATCTTTCAGAATTTGAGGAAGATTAAATGACATAAATAGATCAGATATGAAGCACTTCAAGACTAGAGTTAAGAGATGGAGTAAATTAGCTACTCACTGACCCAAGTCAACTCAGCATTTGCATTTTAATTAGTAATATTTTAAGGATTTCCTCAAATTCACATCACACATCTACTTCAAATGTATGAATGAAAACTAAACACAGCACTAATACATGTCCTTCTCATATTTATTACCTTTCAGTTTTTATTTTATTGGTTATATGAAGATGTACAGTGTCTGATTTCTCATATAAACTGAAAAATTTATGTGAATGAGTAAAAATAAAAAATGAATTAATTAGGTAAAATTTAACCCTTATTCTCTGCCAGGCACTTTTTTATATTTTATCTTATTTAATCATTATAGCAACCCTATAATTAATCATTATTTTCCAATTTTACAGAAGAGAAAACTTAGATCCACAGAAGTTAATTAGATAATAGTCGCAGGCACAAATGGAAAAGAACCAGGATTTTAACACAGATAACCTTACTGTAGAGCTAAAAACAAAGTCTACTATACTGTTTGGAATGAGTATATTAATAGTATATCAATAGTTGGGTTGCTCTTCTTTGGGAAAGTCTAATTTGTCAAGTCCAGTTTCAAATGTGGTACCCAGAACTAAACTCCTGTCCAGATTATACACATGGAAAATGTGGTGGGGATATTAACTTCCTATTTATGGAGAGTATATGGCTTTCAATTTAATTAATAATGAAGTAGATCTGCTGTCAGGCATATCACAATGTTGACTCATATTGAGTTCACATGCAATAAAACAACTGGCTTTTTCCATAGGAATTACTCATAAATTTTTCTTCTCCATGTTATAATCGAGTAGTTGTGTTTTCTTAATCTGGAAAAGATTTAAGATGTATTCCAAATAAATTGCATCTTCTTATTTTTCATCCATAGCAAAATGTAGATAATATTATTGAAGAAGTAAAAAATATATGCAGTGTTCTGGGGTGTGTGGAGACCAAACAAATTACAGATGCTGTAAATGAACTACGTCTAATTCTTCAGAGAAAAATAGAGGTAAATATACTCATTTATTAGACAGTAATTATTTTAAACCTGAGTTCAATAATTAATTAAGAAGAGAGAAAGAATTTTGAGTAAGTACTGTGTGTTTGTGTGTATGTGTCTGTGTGTGTGTTTGCACACGTATATTTCAATCATTTGGGGCTAATGGAAACTTGATTCTATTATACCAAAAGGATTTAATTAAATTAAAAGGAAATTTCTTATACCTTTGAAGTTTGTAACTGCAATATATCTTCCAAGTGAGACTGAAATCAATCCTACCATTCTACCTAGAGGAATATGTTTATATAATAACATTCACAGGCAAGTGTTTATATAGACTATTAATGGTTCTCATGTGCACCAGTATATGCAGGGGCAAGTATCCATGCTTACATGGACAAGCACATATACAGGAAAGAAAAGACCAGTTTTTGTGCTATCTTTTGCTGAATTTGCAATGCACACTGCTTATATGATCCCACAGCATGCAATAATATCCAGTTTTCTTCAGTTTAAAATATAAGTATTAGGTGATTTTTTTTTAAATCTCAGAAATCTGATGTAGAATTACATGTGTGATTACTGTCCAAGAAAAAGATTAGTAAATTTGGTCACAATAAATCCATTCAATCTTGTTATTAGTTTAGCAAATGATGAAACAGAAAGATATGATGATAATAATAATAACTAATACTTGATAGTGCATTGCAATAATAAAATAGTTTCACTTATTTATTATTTCATTTTTATTTTATTTCAATTCATCCTCATATCAATGCCATGAAGTTGGTATTTTAATGTTAATTTTGTTATTAAAATCTGATGCTTAGAATGCTTATGTACAGAGGATTAATAAGTAGCAAAATAGAGATTTGAACCCAGGACTCTTCCTCAATATATGTGAAACTTCATAGCAGAGAGTGATTACATGCATTCCTTATCTGCATGGAAAGCACAGACTACCTTGAATATGTCAGGCTTCTTCTGTAAAATTGGAACAATAATAATTAATTATAGGGTTGCTATAATGATTAAATAAGATAAAATATGAAAAAATGACTGACAGCCTCTTCCTCAATATATATATGAAACTTCATAACAGAGAGTGATTACATGCATTCCTTATCTGCATGGAAAGGAACAGCACAGGCTACCTTGAATATGCCAGCATTGAAATTTCAAAAAGATTGATTTAGAAAGTGGACAATTATATTAGTATATATAAATCATCATCATTGTTTCAAATAGATGACTGAAAAAAATCAGTAATTTCTTAATGTCGTATTTTATAAGTCTTATTTTAACTAGAACCTGTTTTTGTAATTAGAGAGTAATAATGAACATAGAAATTTAAATATCTTATTTGCATTACATAGTGACAGCGATGACTCAGGAGCAGTGGAATCATCCTACCAAAAGATTTTCCAGATAAACATTCATTAAAAGCTAAAATCCCAAAGCAAAGAAGAAATCAAAATTTAAAAAATATAATGAATAAATACCAAAATTTGATGTCTGAAATTAATAACTATTTATTTTATTACATTTTTCTTAATGGGAAAATATCTATTCTTATACCTTCCAATTATAGAAGAAAATGAAATAATTCTGTAGTCTCCAAAGCTGTTTTTATATGTACATATTAATATTCATGGTCTTCTTAAATGATAACAAGGTAAAAAATTTGAAGTGATCACATTTAATCTGGTCATATTTTTTATTCTGAATGGGAAAATTATACATAGTCTTGAAAAGCCTATCATCAGTATGTCGTGAAAATAAGTATTTTGACAAACTCAAAAACTTAAGAATTATATGATGCTAAGAAGAGCTTTCCTTTGCGTATAACCCAGTTATACGCAAACAATGAATCATGGAACACTACATCAAAAACTAATGATGTAATGTATGGTGATTAACATAATAAAATAAAATTTAAAAAAAGAATTTATATTAATATAGTAAAAAAAAAAGAAGAGCTTTCCAATAGCTAAAGTTAAGTCAGGATAACGAGATCCTGAGAGTTAACTTTCAACAAGAAACTAGTTTCTCTTAGATGATCATATTTGGGAGACATTATAAGCACCTAGAGCTGATGATAAAATACAACGAGTTTAAGGTCATACAAATATGATTTGAACTCAATATCTACCAGTTTTTAGCTGAACATCCTTGGGAAAATTAATTCACATCTCTGAGTTTCAGCTTTCCTCATTGCATGTACACATGCATAAAAAACTAACTAAATAAATAAATAATGGCAGAATTTGCAGGGTTTCTCTGAGCATTACAAATAATGTTAATAAAGGTCCAGATGATAGTGTTTCTTGCATGAGTCATTATTATTACTGGAGATAGTGGGTGCTGGTGGTAGTTTTGGAGACTCCTCCCCATGTAGCCAACATGAAGGTTTTTATTTGCACAAGCACCACTTAGGTCCTCATTTTCTCACAACAACTGATTATAGCCAGCCTCATGACAGATGTGAGCCTTTGCCAGAGGAGGAGACCACATGCATGAATGTGGGCACATGTCTTTCCACCTGTTAAGACCACCTGGTTGTGCTTCAATTTTTATGTCCGGCTTTCAGTGAATCAGTACAAACAACTGATCAAAGAATGAGGAAAATCTAATTTTAAGATAAAACACTTCTAATGCTATTAAAATATTACTAGATACAAAAAGCTCTATCTTTAAAACATTCATTTTCTGAAACTCCCTAAAAGAACAAAAATAACAATTTTCTTAGAAATATCAAAACTTCAATATAGCTGAAGCCAAAAGAATCCTTCAAAGAAAAACTGAGTATTTCCTAGGAAAGCTATGAACAATTATAATTCTCAAGAAAAGCTCATATTCACATTTCACATTTCTTATCTACTTATGAGCACTAAATTATATGTGATTATTGACACATAAAAATGAAGAGTTGACAATCATGAGTTTTATTTCATATATGTCAATGGCAAAAAATAGTTTAATACCTCTTAATAAGCAGATTCTTATTTTGAATACACTTTAAAAGTTCACTTATTCTGACCTTCATTCAAATTTTTTGTTCATCTCTTTGTCTAACCTAACCATGAGCCCACCTATATAAGAATGGTGGTACAAATAGTAAGCACATTTTTCAGAATTCGTGTAGTAACCAACTGCAGGTAACAATGCCAAAGTATCTACAGTGTGTCTACCCACCATGAACCGAAGATCAAAGAAATACTGAGAAAAATGAATCTTCTGCCAACAAACTCAAATTTGAGAAGCTTTCCTTTCCCTTGGCTGCATTTTTTGGTCAACTTGCAAGAGACTATTTCCTGCCATACAGGGAAGTAATTAGGTATTTATTAAATGTAAGTTTTGGCAAGATAATGAATTATATCACAAATACAGTTATACTCTCGCTCATGCTCTCACTCAGCATTGGAAACAATTTTCCATCCTTCAAAATTATATTCCAGAATCTCACATAATATATTTCCATTACATGTTTGTACAATAAATGAAACACAAAGTGAAAAATATGGTCTTACATATTGTGCTGTAGGTGGATGTCATGGTGATTTTAAAATACAAGTTTATATTTCTGAATAAATTGAATTCTAGTGAAGTCAAGCTAACATTTTTAAGAGTCTCACCCACATGGATGGGGTGAAGATCTTATGTGTAGTTACTAAGCCTAGTGGTTGAAACTGCTCCAGTGAAATATTGTATCTAAGAGAAATGCTTCTGAAAAGGTTCATGTGAACAATGCTTTTAAGTGAAAAGCTGTATATAAATTTAATTACATTTTAAACATGATAGAAGTGTTTTCTCTCTAAAGGAATATTGTAGCAAGTTCTTTGTTACAAGAAAACAATTATTCCTCAGTTTGTTTGAGAAACTGGGCTTTCATTAATTAAAAGCAAACTTGTCCAAGCAAAATTTTTTAAAAATTAGCATAATTAAAATGGATCATAGGGCGCCTGGATGGCTCAGATGGTTAAGCATCTGCCTTCAGCTCCAGTCATGATCCTAAGGTCCTGGGATCGAGTCCCGCATCGGGCTCCTTGCTCAGCAGGGAGTCCGCTTCTCCCTCTCCCTCTGCCTCTCCACCTGCTTGTTCTCTCTCTGTCTCTCTCGCAAACGAATAAATAAAATCTTTAAAAAAAATGGATCATATTAGAAAATGTTTTTGCTTTTGTACTGAAACTTTATTTTTAGTGAATCTGTGAATCACCTTACATAGGTTTTGTGATAATGAATTTATCACCAGCGATTCCTAAACCACTAAAGTAATTTTAGGCCTCTGACAAATATAAATGCAAATAAACAAACAAGCAAATAAATAAATAAAACCATACTAATGGAAGTGAACAAAAAATGACAATAAAAAATAAAATTTCAGGTAGTACTTTTTTAAAAAAAATTTAGGATATGGTCACCAATGTTTTACTATCAGTTTTTTAAAATCTCCTAAGAATAAATAAAAGATGAAACCGTATCATGAGTCTGTATAATCTTGCCCACGTCCATCCAGCCCTCTTTTCATTGCAGCCCAAACTTTGCAAGTGAATAACTGCTAATAATAAGAACTGGACATATTAAACAGAGAATTAAAATGCACTTATTTCAAAAAATCATTCACTGCTGTGGAAGGGGAATTGAGGTTAGCCAATATATACAGAACTGTTCTAATAATACTAAATAGGCTTAACTTATTCTAAATTTTTTTCAGTCAAAAAATCTAGACTGTTTACTAAAATATTCAGAAGGCTTTTCTTTCATCTTACAATTTAGCTTCCTTCTGTTTATGAAGCAACACTGATATATGACACCAATAAATATTTCGTGTTTTTACCATGCCAGAGAAATTTTAGTGTTTAGATCTGGATATTATCAGTTTGATTGTTTTGTGAATTTGTTTTCTAAATAACAATTGTATCTTCGCACTTACTTTTCTTTTTCAGAATTTTCATCAAAATTCAGAGACTTCAGCAAAAGGTAAAACATACATGTACCCACATTTAAAAAAAAAACAAGTTATAGAACCCAAAATAATTTATTGTTTTTTCAATTATTCATCCAAATATAAAGGTAACACATACACAGAAATATTTTTTGAAGTGAAAATGCTTTGCTAAAACTCTTTTTACTGATGGAAATGATTATTCTGCAAGTGAATAAAAATCCACTCTCTAAACTTCTAGCCTGACATTTTTAAAGAAATGGGAAAAGTCAAGAGATCTATAAAAATGAAAGGAATACTGAAAATATTTTTATAACCATTCCAAGAAACTATAAAATTTTATTTAGCTAATTATATGTTGATGCAAGAAGAGTCAGAAAAGTAGCAGATGTCTTTCTTCAAAGTCACTAATTTCAGATTTAAATTCAAACTCTATTTGAAAGACCAATTGAATATAATATGTAGGAGGATTAGGTTCTGGAATAATTAGTGTTCACAGAGGCTCTGAACCTATAAAACTGCAAGCCACAGAAGGACTTCGCCTCTACAGAAAATAGTGGATGAGTAATAGTATGATATATAGCAAAGAACCCAGCTTTTGGAATCTGGTTAATTTCAACTCTGCCGCTTTTTGACTCTGTGTGATCTTAGAGAATTCTTTGATCCTAAGTTTCCCTAATATGCATAGAAGTCATGATAGCATTTAATGTGCGGGATATGGTCAGAGTTGTTCCTGTTTGCAAAAGCAAATGGTATTTGGCATATCAACACTCTAAGTACCTTCAAGGAAACTAACCCACAGATGTTCAACTCACACTCTAGGTGTAGAGGTCATAGTGAAGTGCAAATGATAACCCCAACCTGCCTTCCAAGCCTTAATCGTTTTGGGGAGAAAGTTATGGACAGAGGGATATCTTCTCAACTCTAATTCCCACCAGTCAAAAGAAGACACAATTACATTTGAAGAACTCTACTTCACATCACAGAGGAAAATGGAATGGCAGAGGGCATGGAGAAAAAACAAACAAATTGCTAGTGCAAAAATCCCTGTTCAGGCATTCATAAAACTCCAGAATATCATAAAAGAAAGGAAAAGATAGACACCCCCTAAAAATATCACTAACAGAGTCCAAGTGATAGAATGAGGAGTCAACAAGCTGGAGGTATGCTTATACGGAATTGGACCTCCTTTTCTTTTAGGAATGTTGGAATAAAATGCCTTCATCCCATATTCTTCAGGGGTTGAGATATAAGATCCCACAAAACTGTGTAGGAATGTTCCCAAAGGTTTATATTCAATGCTAAATCATCACAGATTCTAATTAATGTATTTTAATCAAATATATATTGCCACTGTTTCTCAATTTTATGATACTATAACTCTTTTCCCAGAGTAAAATCAGGTGTTATAAACATTACTACTCCATATTTCACCACCAAGCCCAGTATCTTGTGTCCCTAGTACATTTCTGAGGATATCTGAAATGTACTCTTCATCCAGAATTCTGGTGGTAAAACATAATGCATAAGTACACATCTCTATATTACCTCAAAAAAGCAAATTATAACCAAGAACTGTATTTCTGCACAAGAAATCAAGAGTAGTTTTTGAGTAATTATCCAAATAATTAAGATTTCCCAAAATACATGCTGGGGCTTGAATTAATAAGATCTCTGAACCAACTTTATGATTTATTTTAGATGTGTATTCATTTGCACAAGATTGAGAATTAACAAGAAGTTTGCTACTTCCCCACTTCAGAGTACCAACAGCACAATGTGGGGACCTGGGAAACATGTTTCTATAAATTTATAATTCCCTGCCTCTGTTGTTCAGGAGAATCCCTGTTGGTTGGCCTCCAGAGTTTGATGAGTCCTATGCTGCTTTACTCTTCTGTTTTATTAATTGCTACTGCTGATTTCTCAGAGAATTTTAATTAGAGCTCTTTCATGCTGCTTGTCCCCTCAGACTGTTTCAACAAAGGACACCATTTTAAGTAAAAATTTGGCCATCTTATAAATTTTGTACAAATTTATGAATAACTAAGTGAATAATAGCATGTGTTGAACAACAACAACAACAACAAAAAATTTAATTATGAACAGCCCTACTGAGGGGCAGGATGCGGGAAGAAGGTCCATGCTGAAAATAGCCTGTTTTTTTGAGTAGCCAAATTGTCTGGTAATGGAACACTGCAGACTAATGGAGGAAAAAGCTGGCTCTTTGTATTATTTTCTTTGCAAAACAACTAGAAACTACAAGCAATTTATGCTTCAGAAACAACTTGATGAGGAAGTGCATGTGTTTGAAAAAAACAACAGCACTATTGTGTGACTTGACTTGGCATGCATCAAATCACATCAAATCACAGTCATTTTTTTAAGAACGAATTTTCTAACGATGTGCTTACTTGTTCTCTCGATGACTCCTCAGCGGCCAGGGATTTGGTCACAGCGCTCTTCTCTGAGTTGTGGGGGGCGCCCCGCTCAGGCCCAGAAGTGCGCCAAGCCGCCGCCACCGTGGGCGGGGCCGTGTGCCGCAGGGGTGTCTGGGACCCCAAATGGGACAGATGAGAGCAACGTCCTGGTCAGCCTGTGGAAGTGGAACCTCAGAAGAACTGGGGTCCCAGGCTGGACCACTACAAAAGCAAGGCCATACAGCCCATCTTCCTCATCAGGTATATCCAATACCGCATGGATGCCTCCTCGCAAAAGGATTTCACTTCCGACTCCCCTAGGTGGCAGACAGGCTGAGCTAACTGGTGTCCGACTTGCAAGCTTGGCGTTGAAGCTTAATAAAATCGAGCATCCCTCCATGACTCACATAATAGAAACCACTGACATCATCAGCAAACACGTGCCAGGAGTCTGCAAAGTCAGCACAGGCTTGCTGAGGGAAGGAGCCCCCATCTAGCCTACGGAGTGGAACCTGCCCAAGTCTCAGTGGAAGCCAGAAACGGAGGTTATTACGAAGGCAGAGCCCGAAGGGAGGTGTCCTCCCAAACTGCATCCACCCAGCAGACGCCAGGCAGCGGAACAGTTTGGAGGCCTTGCGGTCTTTCGCAACGTGTTGTGTCTAGCGCCACACTTCCTCCACAGGGCTGGCTCCGCCTCTCCCTCGGCAGCCGTGGCATTACCCACTTGGTGGTCCCGCCCAGTGGCCAAGTAGCGCTCAGGACCCGCGGGGACACAGAGTTCAGGCCTCCTGACAAGATCGCCCGCTCTCCTCCGCCCTGTGCCTAGTTCAGTGGGTGCCACTAAAGAACCGCAGATTCCTTCTCCGTCTTCCCCCACCACGGGCTAAGCTGCGGTTCCATGTCATTCCTCCAGGACGAAGTGGCGGAAAAGTAGAAATATCTAAAATGTGGCATTACCGCATGTTTTTCTGGCCCAGGATGGGAAAGGATAGCATTCAGATCACACCAGCCTGATTTCTTTCTCAGGGTTTTCTGCCTTACGCTTGTCTACCAGAACGAACCTGTAGGATTTAAGGAGCCTATTTCGGGGATTGGTCGAAGGCTGACAGATGCTGTGTGAGGATGATGGACAGATTCACACCGAGGGGTCTTTGACCATGACCACAGCTAGCTGTGCGAACCCTCCGGAGACTCCTTCAGCCAAGCCCATCAGGCATGAAGGACTCCGAGGAGGGCACCAGAGCTTCCATTCACAACTTCACTTCATACTGTCTTTTCATTTCCTAAACCGTTTTATCGCTTAAATATTTGTCAAAGATAGTCCTGATCTGGCTTAAAAAATAATAATGATTGAGCTTTTTATTTGAGTTTACTCATTTAACTTTTGAAACACTACTATAGTGAAATATTAAAAACAATCACAAGTGAGTATATTAATGTATATGCATATTAATGCATACAAAATATCAGTAGTGAGAATTATTCCCTGGCCCCACTAAGAGGTCTGACACTGAACTCCACCCATGGGATAACGTTCGTCATCCTCATAAGCTTCTCCATTGTACTGGTGTCATCTTTCCTGATTTTGATTCAAAGTTCACAACCTGTACTACCTGGTCCATTTCATCAGTCTCTTCTTCCTCTCAGGTAGGAATTTTTTCAGGAAAGAGAATTTATTGGGAGAACGAAAGCCAGGAAAGTTTACCTTACATTCAGTGATTAGGTCTTTTCATACGGTCTAGGATATATTGGTATGCCTTTATTTAGTACACACTCGGAGCTCTTAGCCCCTGTACTTAGTCTTTTTTTTTTTTTTCATGTTTCTTCCTTCATGACAAGTTACTTTTAGGAATAATCAATAAACCCCTCTTAAAAAACTAATAGTAAAACTTAAGGCTTTGATTTTGAAGAGATTTAATAAGCATCATAAATCTTTCATTTCAGGCTTATTTCAGATCCCAACCAGGTACTATTACTGTTCTCTTTTTACAGCAGCACAATGTATATGATTAGTGTTCAGTTAATGGTAAGCATCATAGCATCGTCAAATTTATTATGATTAATTTTTAGATGGGATTTGTTTGAAGTACTTCCAAGCCATGTAAAAAATCTGTTCCTTGTCTGAAAAATAATTCTAAACAATAATAAACTGGAACAAAAATATTGCAAATTATAGAATGCCAAATTAGTAATCAAAAACTCTGGTTTATGATTAAAGGCCACACTTCCAAGATTTCTGCAACTGAAGATATGAAAGCTTATTGATTATCTACACTACTATCAGCTAATTCAGGCTGCATACAGAGGCACAAATGGCTAATTGGCTTCAGTTGGTGGATGGTCATTTTAATTAAATTTTATTTAAAATTTATCATAAGATATTTCAAAGCTGTAATTGATGGCTTACAATAAATATGGCCCTTCAGAGATGACCCTGATTTCTATCCTTTTTTTCCCCCTTAGGCTTGATAGAGAAAGTGACAACTGAACTATCCAGGTCCATCTACCAGCTTATCAATGCCTATTGCTGCAGCTTTTATGCAGATTTCCAGCCTCTAAATGTACCTGATGACATTTCCTATGTAAATCCTGGGCTCCATTCCCACCTTAGCTTCACAGTGTATGCAGTTCACAATATTCCAGAGACTTGGGTGCACAGGTGAGTGGTAGTGAGTTTTTCATAAAAATGTTAATTTTTACATGGCTTCTAATTAGAGTATAATTTGTCTTGTTCTTATTTGCAGGAGCAAATATTTTGTAAAAATTTTGAAATTTAACCAGTGTAGATTTATCTTAAAACCATTTTTAAAAACTTCATTCCCAAATGCACATTCCTTTTTCCTCAAGTCTTTTCCCATTCTCCATATTAAAAATCGCTGCATATTGTCAGTATATCATTAGGGAAGCAGAGAATGCTCATCCTATTTAGTGATTGCCCTAATTTTTTTTAACATTTGAGTTTAAATGACTAACGCTAATTAATAGAACAGAGAGAGAGAGATAGCACACACAGGGAGTAGTACTTAATAGAAAAGAATCACTCTGATACGCATCAAGTTGTGAGCGGTAGATATTTTGTGAAATTAGTACCTTGATAAAGTGGGAATTAGCCAAGAGTTATTTGAGTTACAATGGAAATTAACCACAATTATGCATGGAGCGTTGCTAGATTTTAGGTTGGCTCTATTATGCAGCATTTTTTTGAATAACATAATTAGATTAATATTATAATCATTTTAAATTCCTTATAGATTAAATCTATAAGAGAATGTGGATTAAATCAATTAAAGTTAATAAGAGAATAGTAATTTATAAATGGATTTATTGTACCCACCCATTTCGCACCTCAAAGAAAAGCTGAAACCATTTCAGTAAAAGAGAAAAAATTGCTATATGTATTTTTGCAAGTAACTGACCTGTACAAATAGTTATAAAGTTAATTAGAAAGAAAAAAATTACCTTTGTATGTAAAAAACACTATTTACCTGTGTACACATACACATAATTCTTTAAATCCATGAGATGAGGGGTCCCTGGGTGGTTCAGTTGGTTAAGTGTCTGCCTTCAGCTCAGGTCATGACCTCAGGGTCCTGGGATTCAGCCCTGTGCCTGGCTCCCTGCTCAGTATGGGATCTGCTTTCTCCCTCTGCCCCTCCCCCCCATTGTGCATGCGCACGTCCTCTCTCCCTCTCTCTGTCAAGTAAATAAATAAAATCTTTAAAAATCAATCAATCAATCAATCAATGAGATGAGTATGTAAAAAACACTATTATCTACACATACACATATTTCTTTAAATCCATGGGATGATTCTTTTATACCTTTTCTTTCTTAATTTTATGAAAATTTAAAGGCCTGATGTATAATATAATAAACTGCTACTCTGATGGTTTCTTCCAATATTTTAACCATTAGTACATACTTATTAATTTTAATTAACATGGAAAAACTATGTAGCCAGATAAATATGGATAAAGCTATATGCACGAACCTTCATGTATATATGGGGTGACAGTGTTGTTTATTTTTTTCTATTTTTTTTCTATTCTCTGCTTCACTTATTTCTGATGTAATACTTATGATTTTCTTCCTTCATTTAACTTTGGACTTAGTTTGTTCCTCTTTTTCTAGTTCCTTCAATATAAAGTTAGGTTTTTTATTTTTTATACTTCTAATATAGGAATTTATAGTTATCAACTTCTCTCTTAGTACTGCTTTTGCTGCATCTCATAAGTTTTGGTATGGTGTGTGTTCATTTTCATTTGTAACAATATATTTTCTAATTTCCCATTTGATTTCTTATTTGACCATTGATTATTCAAAAGTGTTAATTTCTATAAATTTGTTAATTTTCCAGTTTTCTTTCTGCTATTGATTTCTAGTTTTATCCCATTGTGGTCAGAAAATACATATGGTATGATTTCAGTCTTTTCAAATTTGTTAAGACTTGTTTTGTGACCTAACACGTGATCTATGCTAGAGAATGTTCCATGTGTTCTATAGAAGAATGTGTGTTCTCCTGTTATTGGATGGAATGTTCTGTATTTATCTATTAGGTTCAATTTGGTTGTTGTATCCATTATTAAAAGTGGGCTATTGAAATCTGCTATTATTGTGTTGCTGTCTGTTTCTTCCTTCAGTTCTGTCAATGTTTGCTTAATATATTTGCTCCAATTTGGGGTGCATATATATTTACAATTGTTATATCCTCTTGACGAATTCACCCTTTTTATCATTATATAATGTCCATCTTTATCTCTTGTGACATTTTTTGACTTAAGGTCCATCATGTCTTATGTATGAAAGGCAACCCCTATGGTCTTTTGATTGCCATTTGTATGGAGCATCTTCTTCTGTCCTTTCACTTTCAGCCAATATGTGTCCTTAAGTCTAAAGTGAGTCTCTTGTAAGCAGCATATAATTGGATCTTGTTTTTTATCCGTTCAGCTATGGTATGTCTTTTGATTGTGGCATTTACTCCATTTGCATTTAAGGTAACTAATGATAGGGAAGGACTTAACTATTGCCATTTTTTCCACTGTTTTCTATTCTTTTCCTCTCTTGCTGTCTTCTTTTGTGTTTTGTTGATTATTCATAATGGCATACTTTGATTCCTTTATTTTCTTTTGTGTATCTTCTCTAGGTAGGCATTTTCTTTGTGATGACCATAGACCTTATATAAAGCATCTTACATTTAAAAACAGCTTCAGTCACTTACAAAAACTCTGCTCTTTTTTTCTCCCCTCACCACACTTTATGTTATTGATACCACAAATTACATCATTTTGTTTTACATATTGTTATAATTATAGTTTTTTAATACTTTGCCCTTTACATTCTGTACCAGAGTTAAGAGTGGTTCGTGCACAATTACAAAGTATTTTACTGTATTCTGTATTTGTCTACATATTTACCTTTACCAGTGACCTTTGTACTTTTGTATGCTTTCGTGTTGCTATCTAGCTAGCCTCTTTTCATTTCAAATTTGAAGACTACCTTTAGCCTTTCTCTTAAATCAGGTCTTGTGGTGATGACATTCCTCAGGTTTTGTTTAACTGGGAAAGTATGTCTTTCTCCTTTATTTTTGAAGGACACTTTTGCCAGATATAATATTCTTGATTAGCAATTTTGTCTTTCAGAACTTTGAATATATCATCCCACTCCCTTCTGGCCTGCAAGGGTTCTGCTGAGCAATCTGCTGATGAACTTATAAGATCTCTCTTTTGTGTGGTGGGTCACTTTTTTCTAGCTGCTTTCAAAATTCTTTCTCTTTGACTTTGGAGAATTTGATTTTAATGTGTTTTAGTGTGGTCTTCTTTGGGCTCATCCTAGTTTGGTTTGTGGGGTTTCTTGAATCTGGATGTCAATTTCCTTACACACAATTGAGAACTTTTCAGCTATTATTTCTTTAGATAAGCTTTCTGCCTCTTTTTCTCTACCTTCTCCTCCTGGACTCACATAATGTGTGTATTTGTCTGGTTGATGATGTCCCAGAAGTCCCCTAAGCTTTCTTTACTCTCCTTCATTCTTCTTTCTTTTAGTTCCTCTGATTGGATAACTTCAAATGACTTATCTTTGAGTTCATTGATTCTTTCTTCTGCTTGATCAGGTCTACTCTTGAAATTTTCTAGTGATTTTTTTAAAAATTCAGTTATGTTCTTCAGTTCCAAAATTTCTGTGTGGTTCTTTTTAATATTTTTTGTCTTTGTTTATAATCTCATTGTGTTCATGCATCATTTTCCCGAGCTTGTTGAACATTTTTATGATGATTATTTTGAGTTTTTTGTCAGGTAATTCATATGCTTCGATTTATTTAAGGTTGGTTTCTGGAGCCTCTTGTTGGGCCATATTCCCCTCTTTCTTTGTATGCCTTGTTACTTTGTACTGGAGTCTGTGCATTTGAAAAAAATACAGTCTTTATTGATTGGTTTCATACAAAGAAATAATGTCACCAATCAGCACAACCAGAGATTCTGGGGCCTTTCAAACCTTTTCTCTTCTCTGGATTTGTGTGTGTAAATTCCCAATTAGAGGTTTTGCTTCTTTCTTCAGGAGCTCATAATTTCTTGCTCCCCCTAGTGTCTGTCTATGGCACTACAAGTTTGCTGGTGCTGCTGTAAACTCCCTGGCTGTTTTTGTTTGTTTGTTTGTTTTAGGATTTTACTTATTTATTTGAGACAGAGAGAGAGTATGAGCAGGAAAGGGGCAGAGGGAGAAGCAGACTCCCCACTGAGCAGAGGGAGAAGCAGACTCCCCACTGAGCAGAGGGAGAAGCAGACTCCCCACTCAGCAGCCTGATGTGGGATCATGACCCGAGCTGAAGGCAGATGCTTAACCTACCGAGCCACCCAGGAGCCCTACCCTCAGCTGTTTTGGGTTCTCAGCTCTTCCGTGGCATCCAGAGTACACCAGGTCCCATCTATGCTATGAGTTGGGTAAGACAGAAACCAGTCTTTCAGGCTGCCACCCAAAAAGCTGGAACACTGGACACACACTCCAGCTCTTTTTCTCCTTTGGTAGAAGCCAGAAGTTGGGGATTTTTTCCTGTTCATTTTGCACTGAGAAGCCAGAAGTTGGGTTTTTTTTTTTTTTTCCCTGTTCATTTTGCAATGAGTTGGGGATTTTTTTCCTGTTCATTTTGCCCTGAGATGGGACAGTGGCAAGTGAATTTGTGCTAGTTCAAACCATTGGCTTTGTTCTCAGAGGCCCCGAACCTGGCACCCATTCCTATTCAGCATTTAGATTTAGGCAGGACAGAAAGTAGTCCCTTAGATAGCCCCTTAAAAAGTCTGAATGCTAGACATATGTTCGGTCTTCTCTTTCCCACCCCAGGAAAAGGCTGAGAGTTGGGAGTTTCCTCCTGATCACACTGCACTCTGCCAGGGAAGGAGTTCTGGAAAAGGACACAAATTTTCCTACTGATTTCTATGTGACTGGTTTGCATTTGCCTGGAGTGCAAGAGCTTCTTGTTTCTGAATTTCTCACAAAGGGAATTGATCCATCCAAACACCAAATTGGTGTTTCCATGGGGGAAGGAGAGTCTGGGGCTTTCTGTTGTACCATCTTGCAGATGTCACCCAACATAAATTTTTAAAGTTATTTTTAAAGCATACTTTACAGAAGCAGATATAAATTTATCATTTGACTTTTAACTCTAAA